GCTGCATTTCCCATTTCAGGGCAGGATAAACAATAGACAAGCAAAGAAAATCAATCTGCAGCCAGAGGAGTTTAATAAATAAAAAAATCTTTTAATTATCAACCTTGTAAAACTCCCATGAAAATTACCAGTCCGGGCACAAGATTTTTGTTCTACCTTACCACAATGAAAACTAATACTCTGCTCATCCCTCCAGAATAATCATCTCAGGCAAGTCGATTTTTTTTTTTCCAGAGCTGCTCTAGTGTCTTTATTTCATGCACAGGGGTCAGAGTTAAGGGTCTTGTGAATGTTTTCTTTACTGTAAAGCCCTTGATGTTCATCTAAAATTAGTCTTGGAAGAATTGGATTTTGATTGGTAAATGTTGGTTTCGCTGCTTGCCAACAAACCGACAAAAGAAATATTTCTATTGATGATCATTGAAATTTTCAGAGAGGGAACATAAGAAAAATGCTGCTTGAGAACTTTAGCGTTTGATTTAAGGAGATCTGCTTTGTATATTTTGACATGTGATGTTGACAATATATGTTTTAATAACTATAAAGATTGAACTTTTTGATTCTCAACATCTATCATTAAATTTAGAATCAATAAAAAATGTGTTAAAATGTGCAAAATTATAGATTTAAAATTGTAAAAATTAAAAATAACTGGAAAAAATGCTTAAATATTTTAAAATTGATGTGGATCAGTGCTGATAAGAATTACAGTCCCCAATTTGGTAATGAGCTTCTTGTGGGAGCATCTCCTAGTTAAAAGACAGGAGTGGGGACACCTGCTTTCTACTGAAATTGATGTACTCTGCCACCGTTAGCAAAGCGCCTCTCAGCACATCAGTTGCCCCAGCTGTAAAACACCGGATAATAAACTACCTCCATGCTGGGGATGTGAACTAAGGTGTTTGATTGTCAAGCACTTTCAAGGCCTGAAAGGGGAGGTTATTTTAGCTAGCCTTCCTATTGTACAAGTGCATTGGTGTGCAGCCATCTCAGGTTTATCTTGATGATCAAAAGGTCTCGCAGTGACAGATCAGGTCTTGCTTTTGCTATAGCAGGTGGATACTAATTACTGACTTCAGAAACATCCACCACCTGCCTTATTCAATGATGTGATTCGTCAGTGATCTTCACAGGTTTTGGAAAACTTTTTGTGCCTAAACTGAACATGTCAAGGCTGTGTACCCTTCCCCATTTTTGGAGTCTCTTTAGCCAGGTGTAGATAACTCATCTGTGGGTCTTGCTCGTGTGGTGGTGGTGGTAGATTCCTGTGCATGACGGCTCTGGGATTACAGAATCTAAGGGATACGGATGTTTTGCTGACCATCCTGTTTAAGACCTTCCTTACAAATAATCAGACATCCAACTTTTTCTGTATCTCAGAGAATATCTTTTTGTTTTGTTTTGTTAATAGCACTTTTCATCACAAGGGGAGGGGAGCCAAAATGTTTTAGAAACCCATGGGAGAACAGATCACAGGGATACCTTCACTCCTCCCTTATGCTCTAAAATGCAGCCACCTCTGAGTGGATCACAGCAGCTGTTTATAACAGTGCACATAAGTTTAGGAGAGGAATTTCTGGAGAATCATAGAATATTGGGGTTGGAAGGGACCTCAGGAGGTCATCTCGTCCAACCCCCTGCTCAAAGCAGGACCAATCCCCAGAAAGATTTTTGCCCCAGATCTCCAAATGGCCCCCTCAAGGATTGAACTCACAACTCTGGGTTTAGCAGGCCAATGCTCAAACCACTGAGCTAGCCATCCCCTCATTGTTCATTTAGAACAATGTGTCTAAATGAAACTGGAGCCAATTTAATTACCGTAGTGAAGGGATTATCATCATGGGGGTTGCAAGCAACCACCCTTCTTAATGGCTAGATGGGAGAAGGTGTACTGAGTCATGGGGTGGGAAGAGGTGGAGGATCACTACCCCAGTGAGATTCTAGCCAGGACTCTTGGACTAGCCATTGGAAAAAGTGATGTGGAATTTGTAGTGACCGCAGGAGCTCAGGACATCACCTTTATGTTTCATTTGAAAAGCAGTATGGGCTAGCACCTAGTGAGGGGAGGGCACGGAGCCCCGCTTTGGGCTGGCTCGTGAGGCACCTCATAACCCTGCATTGGATCATTGAGGTCAATACAGACCCGAAGAGGGAGAGCACCACCCTCTGAGCCATGCACATCACTGTTACAGTGATCAAATCACTATTCAAGCTTCACCGTTACAGAAAGATTCCTTTTTTCTTTTCTTTTTTAAAGGCAGCTTAAAATGGTGGCATAACGTGGCCAGGACTACCCCTGGCTGTGTGTACGGGGCATTAATACATCACGGATGTCGATTTGGCAGAGAATGAGGCGGTTAATGGAGGGAAAATGGGAGCCAGGACTCCTGGGTTGTCTTCCCAGCTCTGGGTTGGGTGAGATGACATTCAGTTCTCCTGGGTTCTGTTTCTAACTGTGCTACTGCCTCATTGTGTGACCTGGGACAAATCCCTGTGCTGGCTCCAATTCCCCTTCCGTCCACCCACAAATCAGCCTCGGGTCAACAAGCATTCACCCGAATCCTAGGACCCTGCTAGGGGGATGGGTCAGAGCTCGGGTCCCACCCACTGTCATTTCGGTCCAAGCCCTGTCATTTTGCAGTGCGGATGGAGCTCAAATCCCAGCCCCGAGGGCTGCATGGTGCAGCGTGGGTACGTTAGCCTGGCTGAGCGACCCACGCCCAGCACGTGTGAGCCGAGGTTTACAATGCAGCATGAACTCCACCAGCCCGGCTCCTGCAGGGCTGGGTTTACAAGGCAGGGTGGATCGTATGACGCCACCCCCCAGCCCCGGCTCCGTCCCAGGAGTGTCTGGGGCAAGGTCCCGCCCGTGGGGAGGGAGCTTTGCCCTCTTCAAAGTGAGCCCACATCAACCCCCGTGCGGTTTTTGTCTCAGTGCTGGACAGGGGTCAAACCCATGGAAAAATGGACTGTCCGGCTTGAAACCAGGCCAAGGGCCCGGCTAGGTGTAGACGCTCCCCGGGAGCCACGTCGGCTCCAGGGGCTGAGAAAGGCCGGTGGGATCAGGAGTCAGGAAAAAACCCTCCCCCCAAACCAGCCCCTGGGCAGCCCCCCGCTGCCAGGCCAGGGCTGCCTGGCCCAGCCCTAGAGCAAGGACAAGGCAGGACACGTGGTCACGCCTTCCTGGGTCCTGTGCCCTTAAGTAGTGAGCCCGCCTTTTCCAGCCCCGCCGGCCAATCCTCTTCAAGCGCCGCGGAGGATTTCCTCCCTTGCGCCGACCAACTGGAAGGGGCAGCATCATCTGAGTGGCAGCGCTCCCGCCCAATGGAAGAGACGGGCCCGGAGCGATGGGCAGGAGCCTGGCCCAATGAGCGCGCGGGGACGCAGGCCTGGCAAGCCCGCCGCCCAACAGAGCGCGCGGGCCGGGGTCACGTGGGGCCAGGCGGCCCCGCCCCCCGCGCGCAGGTCATAGGCGGGCGGGCGGCCGGGCTCACTCTGCGCCGCCATGTTGGGCTTCGTGGGTCGCTGCTCGGCCGCCGCCGCCTCCCCCCTGCTGCGGCGCGGGGCGCTGGGCCCGGCCGGGGCCTCGGGGCCGCTCCGAGACCTGCTGCTGCGGGGCGCGGCCGCCGGCGGAGCCCGTGAGGGCGGGGCGGGGCCGGGC